GCCAGGGCGGGTCTGGTGGCCAAAATGGTGAAGCTGTCCCTGGAACTGGGGGAGATACTTCCCAACACTGAACGTGCAGAGGATAAAAAGGTGGAGAGGGCGCTGGTCTTAGAATGAGGGCTAACCGTTTGCCGAGGCATTTAAACAGCCGTCTCCCTGGGTCGGTGGCTCAGCAATGAGTAGGAGCAGGCAGGACTGCTCAAGTTCTCCTTGATAGTTTTATAGAGAAAAATACAATCTCGGGGCTTCTTGTGTTCTAGCTTAAAGTGTACGGAAGAAAGGTCATGTTTTTTCATTTCTTTAAACATTTATAACCAATGTAGAGATTTCAAATGAGATTTATATATTTGTAAATGTATACTTAATATAAATATATGTATTACATATATATAAGATTTATATATGTGGGGCCGGCGCTGTGGTGTAGCAGGTAAAGCTGCCATCTGCAGGGCCAGCATCCCATATGGGCGCCAGTGAGTCCCGGCTGCTCCACTTCCTTGCCAGCTCTCTGCTGATGGCCTGGGAAAGCGGTGAGGATGGTCCAAGTGCTTGGGCCCCTGAACCCATGTGGAAGACCCAGAAGAAGCTCCTGGCTCCTGGCTTAAGATCAGCCCAGCTCCAGCTGTTGTGGCCATCTGGAGAATGACCCAGCAGATGGAAGACCTCTCTCTCTGTCTCTACCTCTCTGTATCTCTGCCTTTAAAAAAAAAATTATGTATTTGTTTGAAAGGTAGAGCAATAGGAGGGGAGAGAGAGAGAGAGAGCGCGCGCGCTTCTATCCATTGGTTTGCTACCCAAATAGCTGCAAAGCCAGGTGTGGGCCAGGCAGAAGCCAGGAGCCCAGAGCCTGGAGCCAGGAGCCAGGAGCCAGGAGCCAGGAGCCAGGAGCCAGGAGCCAGGAGCCAGGAGCCAGGAGGCAGGAACTCCATCCAGGTTTCCCAGACGGGTGGCAGAAGCCCAAGTACTTGAGCCATCCCCTGCTGCCTCCCAGGAGCGTTAGCAGGGAGCTGGACTGGAAGGGAGCAGAACAGCTAGGACTCGAACCACTGTTCTAGTATGGGACGCCAGCAATGCCAGCAACACTGAACTCCCCGTGCCACAGCGTCAGCCCCGGGTCACAGATTAACGTTTTCCTTCCTGTCGGTCATTGAGATCATTTTGCACAATCTCAGCCAGAACACCCCTGCAAAGGGAGGCTTGTCTCCTCCTCCTCCTCCTCCCCATCACCATCACCATCATCACCTCCACCAGGCAGCCCAGACGAATGCCCGAAATGCCAACCTCTGTCTGACCCTGGGCGAGGGGGTCCCTGCCAAGGCCCACACTGTCCTCGCTCCACAGGGTCTCGGGTTTTCCACAGCCCCAAGAAGTTCCCAAGGAAGAGAGCTCAGTTTACAAACCAATAAAAATAACTCCGGGTGATAAACAGCCACCCTTGCGCAATCTGCCTCGATTTCACAATCCCTGCAGGGCACATGAGCCGGACAGAAGGAGACACACACCCTGGCGCGCACACGGGGCGGGGACCCCTCCAGCCACAGTGATGGGATGGCCACTGTGGCTGTGACACGGGGTCACGTTCACGACAGAAGACAAAGAGCACAGGTGATTGGCTGGTTGATTAAATATGAGGCATTTCATTTTCACTTGTAATTTTTGGCAGAGTATAGGTAAGTAATGGTCTCAGAAGACGATTCAGGCTGCAAGAAACGAATCTAAACTAAAGCAATCCGTCTGGAGAGCCCTGCTGTTACCTTCAGCTATGTAGACTTTTCTAGACGCAGTCTAGCAAACACCTGTGGTGCAGAGCCTCCGACCACAGACCGATGCCAGCCCACCTGGGTTCTGCAGGCTTTGCCGGACAGTGAAATGGGGAGCCCACAGGAAGCACCTTTATAAGGTCAGAGGTTCCCTGCCACGGGCTTCAGGCTTTGTGATGTCTTCATGGTTCCCCAGGAGACATGATGGAGAGCACAACTCCAGTGTCACAGGGGACGCACACGCGGGTGGCCGTTTGCCGGGTGCCGTATCAGTCTCATTCCCGCTGCTGTGATAAAATACCCGCGGCTCAGTGCTTTATGGAGGACAGAGGTCTGCTGAGCTCACGGTTTATCCAAGACCGAGGAGCTCCACGCGTTGGGGCCCTGGTGAGGACGGCACCGCCATGGCGGTGGAGCAGGAGGAAGAGCTAGCGCGCGACAGGGGCCAGGCTTGTTCTTTCTGTGAGAATTTGCTCTTGGGGGAACTGGGGCCCTGCGAGAATATCGCTCCCTCCCAAGGGTGGGGCCACCAAATGACCAGATCACCTTCCACGCGGCCACACCCCTTAAAGGGGCCATACCGGGGACCATGCTTCCAGCATGGGAACCTCAGGGGGACACACTCCAACAGCATCCAAACCACCGCACTTGCAAAGTCCAAACCCTCATTACTGTGGGCAGCCTGGGGTCTGTGCAGAAGCAGGAATGGGCACCCAGGGGAGGGCCAGAGGTCATGCCTCCCACCTGGTCACCCAGCGGCTGTCACAACGAGGATTTCTGCTGGGGAGGGCAGGGACTCTGTGTGTCCCCACTCTTCCTCCAGAGGTAGAATGAACTTGGAGGACTCAGAATTGTCTGAGATGACCAACTGGAGTGGCAGGGTCTCTAGCTGATGCCCGTAACCACCATTTTTTTTTTTTTTACAGATACTAACCTGGATTCTTTTGCCATGCAGCCTTTGTTAAATTTTGCCATGAATAAAATATTAACCAACGCACTTCAAAGAGAAAGGGAGGGCGTGAGAACCCCCCAGAAGGAGAAAGCTGGAACAAAGCAAGCCATCTAAAGCAACGCATCATCTGTATTGTCATTTGATTGACACGTCTTGAATCATTTATGGCGAGCTCCACCTCTTTCTAATAATATGGAAATCGGGAACATGTTGCTTTCAGTCATGATTAGGAGTGAGTTTCAAAGGACGTTTGCAGGTGAGGGAGACAGATGTTGGTGGTGGCGCAGTCATTAAGGTGTGCTGTGATTTATGGGCTTCGGTGGGTGGCCACCGTGGGCTTCCTGCGCCGCGCGGGGCTCTGACACGTGGTCCGAGAGAGAGAGGCGCGCCAGCGTTTCTCGGGGCAACTGCCCTCGTAAGAATCATCAGCCATTCGTCAAATGTGCTTTGAGCACTCATTAGGCACCAGGCACTGCGCTAAACGCCAGGGATGTGCAGATTGGATGTGGTGCTGCACGCACACCTACTGTATACTGGGTGCCGTGCTCGTGGGTGAAGACACGAGGAGTGTGCCGTGGAAAACAGGCCCCCACACGAGCAGCTGCCCTCCCACCTGGCGAGAACGGACGTTTTTAAAGGAAGCCCGGGGCCAGAGGAAGCCGCAGGGTGGCAAGAACCCAACCACTGGAGCTGCTTCTGCTGCCTCCCAGGGCGCGTTAGGAGGAAGCCGGGTAGCAAGGGGCGGCAGGACCAGATCCCGGGCACCGGTGTGTGTCCCAGGTGTGTGTCCCAGGTGGGGGATTAGCCCGCCCCGTCATGACATCTGCCTAGAAACTCTTTGAAGACCCCCCTAGTGTGCGTGGATTTCCAGATTTATTTTTTGGCACCAAAATGAATTTACCTTTAAATTCCATTTTCCACAAACCTTTATAGCACACTTGTATTTCAGGGGCTCTACCTACAGTGACGGCTGAGATTCGACTGCTCCGGCTATACGCTTTCTTTTCCCTTTTTCTGTCCTGTTTGTGGAGGTGGTGGTGGGTGGGTGGTGGTTGTTTGGGGCTGAGCCTGGCAGCCCCAAGGATGGGATGGTGGTGATGGCCTCCAATAGACGCCTGTCCGGCACAGAGCGTGCAGTGGGAAAGGCTGCAGAATGGGGCTGACTGCGGGTGCCATCTGCATAAATGAAATGCACACAAGACCACACACGTGCAGATGTTCGTGTACCACAAGTGAACACACAGGGTGCTGGACCCTGCCACAGGCTCTCAGGACGACGGAGGGGTGGCGGCAGGCCTTGGCCGGGGAGTGGGGAGCGAGGCTCAGCCTGGTCCCACAGAGAGCTCGGAAGCCAGAGTGGCCTCAGACAGGTAGTTTTCCTACCACTGAGGTGAGGGGGCGGGCCCTTCACACCCTTCTCAGTCAGCCATTGGCTGTGGGCTGCTCTAGGGGTGGGAGCATACTAGGGAACACCCTGCCTGGTTGGCTGAGGTCAGTGCTGCCAACTGTCAGCAGTCAACACTCACTGCCCAGGGAGCCAGGGCCACACTGGAAAGTGGGAGGGGGTGGGGGAAGAGGGCACCAAGAGTGTTCTGTAACAACTTCTCATTCCTGTCCCCAAGCCTGCACATCAGGGTTGGCTACAGGGAGAAACCAAGCTTGCAGCTAAAAACCACAGACTGTTGGCTGAAAAGATCCCTAAAGACCACCTGATCCACCCCCTTGATTTTGCTGACGGGGTCTAATCACTTGCCCAAGGTTGGCAACATCAACTGCAGTGCCACAGGGGCCAGGCAGGAGACATAGATGCTGGGACTATAGGGCATGGTGGGGACTGCGGCAAATTGGAGGCCAGGGTCCTCCCAACAGGACAGCTACTGCCTGTTTTTTTCCCACAGCCACCAGGGAACACGGACCCAGAGTGATTGGCGCCTCTGACTTCTCCAGAGGAGCTGGAAATTGTGTGTGTGTTTCATGGGAAATCTCTCAGTTTTGAAATGTTGGCAACTAACTGCACATTCGTAAGAACACTGCATGGGCCAAGGAAAATAAGTCGCAGGCCAGCGCGGGCCCTGGGGTCATGGAGTACGGGCTCTGGCCTGTGGCCATCCAGCGCGCTGGAAGCGCAGCCAGGGTCCCTGTGGGCCCAGGTGCTTTCTATCAGGCCTGGCACAGGAGGAGGGAAACCGGGCTGGGAACCAGGAAGAGCTTCCAGGCTCACGGGCAAGTTCCCCAGGGTGAGCTGGGGGTGGGGGGTGGCGGGTGGGGTACGGGGAGCCCCCCCCCCCAGCGCACAGGTTTTGGCTTCTGTTTCTGTTGAGGATGAGACACTGGGCCGGCGTTGTGATGCAGTGGATGAAGCATGGGCTCCGATGCAGGCGTCTCATGTCACAGCACCAGTTCAAGTCCCGGCCGCTCTGCTTCTGATCCTGCTCCCTGCCAATGCGCCTGCATTTCTTTTAGAATCAACGGGAAAAAAAGTTAGCTTTTAGGGTCAAACAATTTAATTCTGTGTGGATGATGTTATACAGAGACAGACACACAGAGATCTTCCATGCACAGGTTCACTCCCCAAATACCCACAAGCGCTGGGGCTGGGCCAGGCTGAAGCCAGGCGCCCAGAACTCACTCCAGGTCTCCCGCCTGGGTGGCAGGGACCAAGTCCTTGCATCATCGCTGCCTCCCAGGGTGCACAGTAGCAGGAAGCTGGACTCTCCGACACTCAGATATGGGATGTGAGGGTCCCAGATGGTGTCTCCCAGACGGGAGGTGGCATTGGTGCCAGACGTTCAGAAGAAAATGTCCATTAAGGCCAAGGGCATTTGGGGGCCTGCGGCACTCACAGGGCAGCAGGTGGTACAACCGGGGGGCCCGGGGCTGGGAGAGGCTGAGGAGGAGGCGAAGACACCAAGACAGTGCACAAAAATGACATCAGGGAGAAAGGAGTAGGTTAGCAGGGAAGGGCCAAGGAGTGTGTGATGCCCACGCGTGCACACGTGTGTAAGTGTCTGCACCTGAAGGAGTTTTTGAGAGCGTGTGTGCACGTGTGTGAGTGGCTGTCTTTGGACACGTGCTGAGTGTCCACACGAGCATTGTGTGTGTGGAGGAATATGTGTGTGAGCACGGTGCAGACACGTGTCTATATGTGTGTGTCCGTGTGTTAATGTGTGTGTGTGGTGTGTGAGCATACGAGGGGAGGGTGTCTCCTTGGGAGTGGGTGTGCAAGGGTGTACCTGTGTGTGTGTTTGAGTCCTTACACACACATGCGAGCGTGTCTGCAGGGTGTGCAGGAACTGTGTGAGTGCACTGTGCGATTGTGTGTCCGTGTGCACATGCACGTGTGTGGGTGTGAATGAGCATTTATGTGTGACCGTGTGAGAACGGTGTGAGTGCACTGGGTGACTGTGTGTGTGGGTGTGAGCCAGTGTGGTGCGTGCACGGTGCGCCGAGCCAGGCAGCGGGAGGGGGCGGGCCGGGGGAGGGGAGCGCAGAGCTGGGAATCCCACCGACACATTCCAGCTGGATGCTGGGGGCGGGACGGCAGCCCGGTGGGGTCTGAAAGGGGGAAGCGGCTGTATCTGGGTTTTGTCTTGATGAGAGGAAATTCTTTGCCCAAGGCAACGGTGCCCCCTGGGGTGTGCCCTCTGTGGTGGGCGACCAGGAACTCCTGAGAGCCCAGCCAGCCTCTTCAAACCCAATTTGCATTAGAAACCCGTGTGTGTTTCTGTATTTTGCTTGGAGGCCTGGAGAAGGAAGACCCTGGAGCAAGAGATAATGGTGCTTTTCAGACTTCAAACTGCTTAGCCCTGATTAGGCTCCACCTGGACACCGGAAACCGGGCTGACGCTAAGACAAGCCACTGACAAGTTAAAGGGGGGCTGCAGCCTTCCTGCCAAGGTGACCCCAGGGGTCATGGAAATCTCCGCCCTCATGCTGGGTCCCACTTCCCCGGGGGGGCGCAGCAGCAGCATGGGGAGATCCCGCTGGTTTCTGGGCAGAAGTAAATTAAGTCTCTTGTAGGGCAAAAGCCTGCAGGCCAAGTAGGCTTGTCCTCTGTGGGAGCGAAAGGCGAGCTAAAGGTGGAACATTCTGGAAGGCCCTTCCGTGCTCTGTCTGGAGGCAGCAGTGTCAGGAAGTGGGAGGCAGTTTAACGGCCACCAGGGGTCCGAGTGCAGAGAGGTGACTCAGTGTCCTCATCTGTAGAATGGGGAGAGCATCCTGCACAGGGTTCTGTGCGAGGACTGAGTGTGGAAACTTGCGCACACCACAGCACATCCTCAACAAGCGGGGACTCAGAGTTATGTCAGTACCGCGGTCACCATCTCAGCACTTCACCACCATCACCATCATACATGATACCACCATCACAACCACAACCATCGTCGTCATCAGAATTCTATCATTAGCGCCATTACAGTCACCATCACAGCTATGACCATCATCATCCTCATCACTATCACCACCATCATCATTACTTGGTCACTGTCATCATCATTGTCTTGTCACCATCATTAAAGTCATAAACATTGTCATCAGAATTCTATCACCACCATCATGGCCATGACCATCACCATCATATCACCATCATCAAAACCATAAACATTGTCATCAGAATTCTATCACCACCATCATGGCCATGACCATGACCATCATCATCATCACCACCATCTCCATCATCACCTGCTTAGGAAAAAGCCATCTCCTAGCACTGGAGATCCAGCGGCTCGCAAAGCTCCGGGGTCTGATGGGGGTAAGAAAGCTCACCTCCCGTTCCCAGACCTTCCAGGACGACAGTCACTCTGCGACAGCAATGACAAGGTTCTGGGTAGGAGGTCCTTATCCCTGGCCTCCTGGGGAACCTCAGGGAGGTGGACTGAGGAGATTCGGAGACACCTAGCAGGAAGAATGCTCGACTCAGAGACGGTGCGAGTTTTTCCATTTGGTTTCTGCACCATCTGGACCCCGGTGGCGTCCCACAGCCTCTGAATAGATGGTTGCTTGGAGGGAGTGGGCGTGCTGGGAATAGACCGGGTTTGGAGGCCACTCCCGAGTCTGCAGACCCGGACTCCGGCGGCTCCCTCCCCCGTCTGCGCTGTGAGGCCACCTTTCCGAGCCCAGGTTGCCTCCTCATCACATATTCGCTCAGGTGACAGCAGACGCTCGGCAGGAGGTCCAAAATGGCACTCCCCTGCTCCAAGTGGCCCCATCGGTGAGCGAACTGGCTTGCAAGACTCAAGATTCTTGACGGCGAGTGGAAGGATGTGTGCAGTGCACAAACAGTTACAACGACCCTACCACATGTTAGCTCTTGGGAACCCAAAAAGGGAGAAACCAGGACCACTGTCACGTGGGGAGACGGGTGCCAGAGGAAGTACAGCAATGCACTGTGACTGGGGCCCGGAGACTTCCCCTCAGGCAGCAAGCAGAGGGCGGCCCATTCTCCTTGGGTGCTCCCCTGGCAGGGTGCACCCAACCACACAGTCTGGAGGGACTTGCTGCGGTGGCCCCCAGAGACACCGAGTGACCGTGGTGGACTGTGATCCCGGACCCAAAACAACAGTGAGAGGGAAACATTGCAGAGCCTTCAGCTGGGAGCCTGTCTTGCAAACAGAGCTGTCAGCTTTGGACCCACAACTGCAGGGTCGCTTTGGGCGGGTTCCTGAGGAGGAAGAAGATGGAGAGGGGAGGGACGGGCCACGGTGGCATTGGGTCTTTAGGCTGAGTTAGAATTGTCTTCCGTTTCCAGAGCAGGAAGCACCCTGGTCCTACACCTGCCCTGGAGCACCACGGTGGAGGTCAAGGTGTGTGTGGGCAGCCTCACCCCGCCTCCTGCAGGCCCCCAACCCCAGCACCAAAGTCCTTCCTGCCAAGGGGCCGCCCTGACCCATGCCAAAGACGGGGCGGCTGGAAGCCACGTCAGGTTACCACTGCATGCTGCTGGGTGCCAGCAGGTGGACGCAAGGGGTCAGCAGGGCCACTGTCACCCAGGCGGGGTCCTTCCTGGTCTCGTCCAGCTTCTGCTGTGGCCGGCAGTTCTAGAGGCCCTTGTAGCTGCTCCACACCAGTCTCCGCACGCGCTCTGGCATGGCTGCTTCCCCATGTGTGTCTTGTCTCTGGGTCCAAGCTCCTCCTCCCTATAACAACACCAGATTGGCTGTAGGGCCCGCCCTCACCCAGTAGAACCCCACCTTAACTGATTACACCTGCTAAGAGCCTGCGTCCAAATAAGGTCACGTGGGCAGGTTTGGGCTGGAGCCAGAGGGAGGGGAAGTGATATTCAACCCTGCACAGCATCCAAGCACTGGAGTCATAAAGCCCTGGGTTCAAATCCTGACCATGCCGCCTACAAGTGGTGAACTCAAAGCACGCTCTCCAGGCCTCTATTTGCTCAACAGGAAAATGGGGGGTAGAATGTGAGACCAGCAAGGCTGTGGGAAGGACTGGAGCCAATGTGTGTAGCAGACACAGTCGCTGTCGTAAAAATGGAAGAGTTTGTCACTGTTGTCACTGCCACAGTCTGTCCTGGACATGTCCACTCTCTGCAGCCGACTTCTGCGACGCCAACAGCTTCTGCCCAGCCCTGCAGGGTGTTCCCACCCCCAGAGCCCTGTGCACCTTCGGGGAGCTGCTGCCCCTGCTGGGACACCTGCCTGTCTCCTGGGCAGTGGCCAGGAAGTCCCTGGAGAAGGGAAGGGGACTGTCCCCAGGACTGCCTCGAGGATGCCACAGTGTTGGCTCCCAGGCTGAGCGGGCAGCAGCGAGGCCAGCTGTGCAGCCAGGAATCCTCACTGCCCGGAAGTAGTAGGCACCCCGCAGCTGCTATGCTCCTGCCGCTGAGCGGGTGTCACGAATGCCTCCTGTGGGTAGGCGTGCAGGCTCTGCACCTGCCGTGCTAAGGGCGAACCTGTCGGCGCCCCCAGACTCAGAGCATCCAGGTGAGTCTGCCTGTGTGTGTAGCCCTGTGATCTATTCCCCTCCAAAGGATTCTTTGTATCTCTGTCTCCTTCCTCATCCAAAGTACCGAGGGGGTTTTAACCACCAAGCAGCCTGTGCCTCACAGCGGACCAAATGCTTCTATGCTTACCCTCGGCCCTCCATTTGCAGCCAAAGATTCTTAGTGATTTGAATGGGGTGACTGGACAGCGTCAGTGGAAGTTTCTGGAAGTTTGCATGGTTTTTGGTTTTGTTTTGACTTTCTTTTTTAAAGCATTCTTATTTCTTTTTCTCCTTCTCCAGGTTTATTTCCACCTGCTCAAAAGGCAGGAGGAGAGAGGGAGAGATCTTTCATTCACTGTTTCATCTCCTCCAAATGCTTGCAACACCAAGGCTGGGCCAGCCATAGGCAGGAACTAGGAGCTCCATCCGGGTCTCCTACAGGGAGGGCAGGGACTCAAGCACTTGAGCCACCATCTGCAGCCTCTCAGGTGCATTAGCAGGAAGCTGGATCAGAACAGAGCACCTAGGATTCGAACTGGCGCTCCAATACGGGCCGCAGGTATCCCCAGCGGCGGCTGTGAACCAGCTGTACCGCAGTGCCGGCTCCTAGCTTAGTTTAGAACTAGAGGATGTGGTATTAGGAATTCGGTTCCCTGGTTTATCACCTGGTGGGTTTTTTATTTCAAACAACCCCTTTATCTCTCTGGTTTCCTTATCTGGAGAAAGACGATTACAAACTCTTTCCTATGGGCTGCATACATGAGCTAGCCCACGGCTCGGTTTTAGAATTGTAGAGAAGCCCACAGAACGCTGATAAATCCGCTCTTAAAAAACAGAAAGCCCTGATTTGGAAGAGATACAAAGACTCAGCTCCTCTGGGCTGTTGTAAACTGGCTCGGGTCACCCCTGAGAACAACAGACACCCACGCTGGCCAATTTTATTAGCAAAGAAGTGTCTGAAGGCTATGGGGCAACGGGTGCAATCCCCAGCTGGCCGATTAGACTGGGAGCTCCTGCAGCCCAGAGGAGGCCCCCACCTTTACCCGAGGGGAGGGGACGTTACCACTGCTGTCCCCTCTGGTGCAGACGCACTTCTCTGGCTTCCGCATGGCCAGCAGTTCTGGACATTGGTCAGTGCTACGCACACGGCAGCCTCTGACGTCTCTGAAACCCCCTGCAGCTGCTGCTGCCGCCCACCTCACCAGCAAGGAGGAGGTGTGGGAGGGGGCGGGGCCCACTTCCTTCTACCACTGGCTTCTCCATGAGTTCAGAAAGTTGAATCTGATTGACAGGTAGGGCTGAGTCCTAGCTGCAAGGGAAGCTTAAAACAGCTGCCTCCAGGGGAGTGAGTCCCAGGAAGCCCAGACTCCCAACTCGCAGGGCTGCGACACAGCACAGGAAGCTGTCTGTAGCACCCTCCCCCCAAAGCCCCTGAGAGAGCAGCAGCGACAGACGCTGGGCTCAGATGGCTGACAGGCCTGGATCTCAATCACAGCTCCCCCGGGATCTGGAGCAGGTACTTTGGCCCCTCCAAGCCTCAATTTTGCTTGTCTACAAGATGGGGGGGGGGGGAGTTAGGCTCCTCCCACCACCCGGTTCCGAAGATTAAGTAAGATCACGTCCAAGCATCTCTCCGATGCGGCGCCCACCCCCTGCCTGTGAGGGACAGTCCCCACATGCATCACTGTGCCCTTCAGAGTGGATTTGTGAACACCTCCCCCCACCCCTCCCTGGGCCCCGGCTCCAACCTACCCAAGTACAAGGGATCTTCACGAAGTCATGCAAATTGTGAGAAAATCACCCTTGGATTTCAAAATCCATTTCTGTCCAAGTGCACAGCTTTCCACGGCATTGTTCGAGCGCTTTATGGGACACCCATACAAGTGTCCACCAAGCGAGGCCGTCCCCGGACCATGCACCCTGGGAGTCAGCGCTGGGTGAGCCCCTGCCTCTCCCTCTCCTCGCAGCCTGGGGTCCTCGTTTCCGGTGTGTGTGTGTGTGTGTGTGTGTGTGTGTGTGTATGGGAGGGGGTACTCAGTCCTTTGGGTGGAAGAACCAGGCCTGAGGAATGAAAGGTGAGGCAGCCCGGGATACTTGGGAAGAGAAGAGGCCTGGGACCGTAAAGCCGGAGGCAGGAGTTCCTTGTGTGGCCTGGAGCCTGGTTCTCAGACTCCCCAGAGGGGGGATCTCCAGAGGGACCTGAGGCCTTGGTAGGGCGTGCGCGGCGCAGCCCTGCGAGGGACCCTGTGCGCTAGCCTGGAGGAGCGAGTTTCTGGCAGGACTCCTGTAGGAGTCACTGGACATCTGTGTTGCCCTGGTACCAGTTATGGCTTGGTCTCTACTGCAATCTATGTGGCTGGCACTCCCGGAGCTGTGCAGTGCACAACCTGTACAACAATGCGTGGCCGCCTTGCTTTCCGGGAGAAAAAGATAAGGCCGTGAGCGGGACTCACAGGATCAGGGAGACTTGCAGCCTGGACCATTAGAGAGGTGAGACTGTTTTCAAGGCGGGGCGGGGGAGGAGGGAATTCCAGACTTGGAACACTGTGTACCGACACAAGGGATGTTTAGGGAATGCTGAGATCCAGGGTGGCTGCAGGGAGGAGGCAGGCGGGCCGAGGGGACTCATTTCCAAGGCTTGAGTCGAGTTCCCTCGGGGGGCTTCTGGGGGAGCTGGTGAGGCCGCTGAATGTCAGACGTTCCATTCCTCTGAGTGGTCCTCACAGTCTCTCCCGGCGGGAAGCATCCGACCAGGAACTCCGGCCTGGCTGCGGCCATACCGGATTTGGACCCCGCTCTGTAGCCTGCAGGCTGTGCATCCCCCCTCTCGGAGCAGGGGCTCGCCTCCATGCAGAAGAAGCCTAGCGCCGGGGGCTGGTGACGCGGGAGGTGTCCTGCCCGGGCTCTGGTCTCTGCCTCTGGGTGCAGAGATCAGTAACTCCAACTTGCTGTCACTGAAGCAGGCGGTCACTCTCATTTCCAAACTCCCTCTCTAGCTCTCTGGCCCAATTCTCCTTAGCATTAGGGAGCCCTTCCTTTGAGTTTCCACTGCCCTCGCTCCACGGGGGTCCTTTAAGATGCAAATCTCGCTTCTGATTCCCCAGAGCCTCAGGGTAAACCACTTTTATCGGTGTTTACCATCTCCCCTGGAATGGAGGGGCGGGGCCCAGAGAAACAGCTAGTGCCGGGGAGGGGAAGGGGCTCGCTTCATCCACTCCCAGGGAGGCAGAGAGGAGGCTTCTGGGTGTGGAACGGGAAGGAAGGACAGCACCCGGAGGCACACGGAGTCTCTCCCGCCACTCCTAGGGTCTGCAGGGAGCATGCAAGGTGGGGCGGGGCTGGGGCTGCAACCCTGGAGGCCACACAGGCCCTGCCCTCAGGGGACTGCCAGTGTGGTCCAAAACGGAGGAGCGGCTCCCTGTAGGCACCTACAGGCTACCTACCTGTAGCCCCAAGCGAGGGAACTCCCCAGTACCCCGAGGGGGCCGATAGTCACCGTGGTAGGACGCCGAGCTCAGAGGGGGCTAAAAATGCCTTGCCCCAGGTCAGCCAGGAGGCCAGGAGCTGGGTCTCTAACTCCTCTGTGCAGCTCTGAGTTCAAGGATGGGCTTTCCTCCCGCTGGGCTCGGGCTCAGCTTCCTGGATGGGACCTGACCCCTCTGAGTCTCGCACTCCTGAGGATGACATGAGAGAGAGAGAGAATGGCAAACTTGAAGCAGCCCGGCATAAAAATACGTAGGAGATAAAGTCTCCCCATGGGTGTACAATGTAGAATAACCCATGCCTCTTCAATTTAAAAACCCCACATCGGGGACCGGTGTCGTGGCGCAGTGAGCTAAGCTGCTGCACGCAGCACCTGTGCCCCTCCTGATCAGCTCCCTGCTAAAGGCCTGGGAAGGCAGCAGAAGATGGTCCAAGAACTTGGGCCCCTGCACCCACGCGGGAGACCAGGAGAGATCTGTGGGCTCGTGGCTTCAGTCCGGCTCAGTCCCAGCCAAGGCCATTTTGGGAGGGAACCAGCAGATGGAAAATTCATAGTCTCTCTCTCTCTCTCTCTCTCTCTCTCTCTGTGTGCATCAGAGTGTGCGTATAACTCTGCCTTTCAAATAAATAAATAAATCTTGAAAATCCTCTATATGAACCGTTACATGGTTCACAAAACTTCAGCATGCTGCCACGTGTTAATGATGCGGCCGTTGGCCACTCTCCTCGGGGCTATGCTTGGGTTACTTGAGGGTTTAACTATGTAAAGATCTTTAAAAATGCATTCGCTCTCCTTTAAAAAAATGCTTATTTATTTTTAAGACAGAGTGACAGAGAAAGAAACAGATTTTCCATCCGCTGGTTCACTCCTGCAACAGCCAGGGCTAGGCCAGGCTGAAGCCAGGGACCTGCACTCTATCTGGGTCTCCCTTTGGGTGGCAGGGACCCGAGCACTTGCGGCATGGCCTGCTGTCTTCCAGGACGCGTTAACAGGAAGCTGGATGAGGCGCACAGGAGCAGAGACTTGAACCTGCACTGATACAGGCTGCGGGCATCCCACGCAGCGGCTCGAGCCATGGTGCTTCGCCTTTAAAGCTGTGACCTCCCTGGTGACGTGTGTGTGTGTGTGTGAAAAGGGAGGCATAACATACGCATCATGGGGCCCCATGGGATTCCCTCTAGGGGCCCAGTGGCTTTTAATGACCTGCAGTCTGGCTATTGAGGAGTAAACCCAGACCAAATCCAACAGCTACAGGGAACACAAGCTCCGCCCTCCCATGCCCATCCCAAACCCCACAGCTCCTAGAGGAACCCCTGGCTCCTCCCACTTCCTCCCAGCTCAGGGTGAGGCCCATGGAGTCGGTCTCCCTAGAAAGCCACTCTTACCCTTCTCACGTCTCGAGGCCAGGTCTCTGCAGTGCAAAGCGCATGGGGGTCTGCATGGCTAAGTGCTTATACGTGGGCTCCTCGGGGGCGGGAGATTAGCTACACTTGTGCAGAGACGCGCTGCACCCTCCCTAGGCCCCAGCAGCAGAAGGGAAGGCGCCCTGCCTTCGACCCCAGCCCCTCGTCTTGTCGCTTTGGTGTCCCTTCTCTGGGTTCCGTGCCCCATACACCCACTTCCTGACAGATGATCCGCCAAGGTTTGTCTCCAGGCTGTGAGCTCCCAGAGGGTGTGGCCAGCTCATTTCCGGCCTTGAGCCCTGTGGACAGAAACAGGTGCTCAGCAAACATCACTTGCCCGGGACAGGCTTTGTTGGACCACGGAGTTGAAAAGGAGAGTGAACACGGGGCACCGGAGCACGGCTGGGACACTGCCCTGGGAAAGGCCTGGCCAAGGCTGGGTTCCTCCTCGGGGCTCCGACCCCAGCTGCGAAGAGAGGGGATTCCCACAGATCCTATCACACGCTCTTGCTCAAGGGCTTTGCCCCTCCTCCCGTCCACAAGACTTAGTGAGTTGGGATGTAGCGCTCTTTCTCTTTCTCATTAAGTAATGATAAAGCTGCCATTTAAGCCGCCTGCATGCCACACTGGAGGGCCTAAGTCTGAGTCCCGAGTCTGGCTCCAGCCTCCAGCTCCCTGCTCATGCACACCCTTGGGGGGCAGCAGCGATGGCTCCAGTACCTGGGTCCCTGCTGCTCACATGGAAGACCTGGATTGAGTTCCTGGCTCCTGGCTTTGGCCTGGTCCAGCACCAGCTGTTGCAGACACTTAGGGAGTGAACCAAAACAGTGCAGGGTCCCTAACCCAGGGATGGCAGTATCACCAGTACCGAGAAAATGACAGCGCGTGCCGCCCAGAGAAGCAGCTGACAAACCGAAATGGAAGGATGTTCTAGAAACTAACCGGCCTGTTCGCTTAGACAATGTCGGTGTCCGGAAAGATATAAAAAGACTGAGGGACTGAACCGGCTTAAAAGAAGCTAAGGAGACACATTCCCTGAGTGCCGAGAGAGAGAGAGAAAGAGAGAGGGAGAGAGAGAGATGCCCGGCGCCCAGGCAGGTGTTCTTCTTGTGCGAGTGGAGGTTGTGGGGGGAAATGGTGAGATCTGAATGAAGTTCATAGATGAGGCAATCATGCTGCATCGATGCCTGATTTTTCTCATTGTGTTTGTGGTCTTGCAACAGAGTGTTGTCGGGTTTAGGACGTGCACCCCCACGTAATTCAAGGTGAAGAGTTTGGTGACTCCTGGGCAGGCATTGTGGTGCGGCTGGTTAAGCCGCCGCCTGCAGCATCAGCTTCCCCTCTGGGCACTGGTTCGAGTCCCAGCTGCTCCACCTGCAATCCGGCCCCCTGCTAATGTACCTGGAAAGGCAGTGGTGATGGCCCAAGCATCTGAACCCCTGCCATCCATGTAGGGGGCCCAGATGGAGGTCAGGGCTCCTGGCTTTGGCTTGGCCCAGCCCTGGCTGCTGTAGTCATTTGGGGAGTGAACAAGTGGATGGAAGATCAGTCTCTCTCCCCCCCTTTTGCTTTCCATTTCAAAGAAATAAATAAGTAAATCTTTTTTTAAATAGGCTGGCACCATGGCTTACTAGGCTAATCCTCCACCTGTGGTGCCGGCACCCCGGGTTCTAGTCCCGGTTGGGGCGCTAGATTCTGCCCCAGTTGCTCCTCTTCCAGGCCAGCTCTCTGCTGTGGCCAGGGAGTGCAGTGGAGGATGGCCCAAGTGCTTGGGCCCTGTACCCACATGGGAGACCAGGAGAAGTACCTGGCTCCTGGCTTCAGATCGGTGCAGCGCGCCAGCCATAGCAGCCACTTGGGGGGTGAACCAACGGCAAAGGAAGACCTTTCTCTCTGTCTCTCTCACTGTCCACTCTGCCTGTCAAAGAAAAAAAAAAAGAGTACATGATTCTGACCAAGATGTGTGTGTGTCTTTCTTCTCTGCATTAGAGTGCTTCAAAAAGTTCATGGAAAATGAAATAAAAGATAAGTTTATTTTGGTGCAAAAATGTTTGAAATCCATGCATAGTTTTTTCATAATACACACTTTCATGAACTTTTTTTTTAAAAAAAGATTTATTTATTTATTTGAAAGGCAGAGTTACTGAGAGGCAGAAGCAGGGACAGAGAGAGAAGTCTTCCATCCACTGGTTCATTCCCCAGATGGCCACAACAGCCCGAGCTACGCAGGGCTTTAGCCTGGCCAGGAGCCAGGATCTTCCTCCAGGTCTCCCACTTGGGTGCAGGGGCCCAAGGACTCAGGCCATCCTCTACTGCTTTCTCAGGCCAAAGCAGAGAGCTGGATCGGAAGTGGAGCCATCTAGACTCGAACCGGCACCCATATGGGATGCCGGCACTGCAGGTGGTAGCTTTACCCACTATGCCATGGCATCGGCCCCTTTCATGAACTTTTAAAGATTTATTTATTAATTTGAAAGGCAGACAACACACACACACACACACACACACACACACACATCATCCATCTGCTCCTTCACTCCCCAAATGCCCACAACAGCCAGGGCTGAAGCCTGAACTCAGGCTGGGAATTCCATCTGGGTCTCCCACGTGGGCACCGAGACCCAACTACCAAGCCATCATCTGCTGCTCCCAGGGTGTGCATTAACAGGAAGCTGGATTGGGAGCAGCGCTGGGGCCCAAACCCAGGCACTCTGACACGGGCTGGCGGCGTCCCAAGTAGTGACTTAACTGCTGTGCCGAACGCCTGCCCCACAAGCTCTCTGAAGACCCCTGGTGCTTCTGTATCTGCAGAGAGCAAAGGAGAAAAGGAGAGGCAAAAACAGTGAAGGGTTAAGGTCTGGGGAATGTGGGCAAAGGTGTATGGTAATTCTTTGTATTATTTTTGCAACTTTTCCATGAGCTGAATTATATTAAAATAAGAAGCAATAATAATAATAATCAAAGGTCCACATTGCATATTAACGTGCCTAGGCTCCAGTCTCGGCTGCACTTCTCACTCCCACTTCCTGCTAATGCACCCCCCAGGAGGCAGCACCTGGTGGCCCAAGTACTTGGGTTGCTGCCGCCCATGTGGGAGACCTGGACTGAGTTCTGGGCTCTGGGCTGTGGCCTGGCCCAGCCCCAGCTGTTGTGGGCGTTTGCGGAGTGAAACAGCATATGGAAGATCTCTGTGTCTCTCTCTGTTCTCTGCCTTTCAGGTCAAATAGCAATAACTTTTGGGAAGGAGGGCGATTGTGGGGTGTGCACGGCTGTGCCCTAAGTGGCAAGAAGGAGCATGCGTGGGACAGGGAGCCACCAACTGGCCTGGGCTGCCGGTGCCGCAGCGTCTGGAATGGATCAGCAGCTACCGCTGAGCTCACCCCCTCCACCCAGCTGGCTCCCAGGAGGCTGTGAAGGCGGGGCTGGGCTCTGGCTGTTGCACAATAAGAATCCACAGATAGCGCCTCTTCCCAGGGGCTGTTGGGGGAAAAAAAATCCACCCAGGGAGATCCCTGGAAGCACTTTGGCAAGGCCTCGGGGACCACTCGCTGCTGTGCTTGTCTCGGGGATTCCCACCCAGAGGAGGTGAGGGCCTTGAGCCCCGCCCCCGCCCACCTTGGTCAGGAAGCCAGGCTGGGGGCCTGCCGCTGGGAACTGCCGGTGGCAGCGAGGAGGGGGGTGCTGCAGTAACTCCAGGCTTCTGTGCTGAGCTCCCCCTCTCCTCCTGAACCTCTGCATGGCATTTGGCGCCATAGCTAAGCTGCCCTGGGATGTCTGCAACCCAAACCTGAGGGCCTGGGTTCGAGTCCTGACTCCTCTTTTAATCCCAGCTGCCTACTGATGTGCATGTTGTGGGCAGAGGCGATGGCTCAAGCGCTTGGGTCTCTGCCACTCGTGCAGGAGACCCGGATGGAGTTCCT